CACTGCTGGGGCAGATCGTTGTGGTCGGAGTCTATTTCTCCCCCAATAAAACGTTGGCTGATTTTGAAGAGTTCCTGGACAGGCTGGGGGATTTCATTGCCAGATTCCAGCCTGCGGAAGTCCTGTTAGCGGGGGACTTGAACTCAAAGTCCAGCTTGTGGGGTTCGGCAACGGAGGATGCGCGGGGAAGGGCCCTTGTGGAGTGGGTAGTTGCCACCAACTTGACGGTCCTTAACCGGGGAACGGCGAACACGTGCGTGCGACGGCAGGGCGGCTCCATCGTGGACGTAACGTTTGCGAGCCCAGCCTTAGCGCGCCGTGTCCAGGGCTGGCGAGTGCTAGAGGACGTGGAGACTCTTTCGGACCACCTATACATCCGATTGGAGGTCTCCACCCATCCGGCGGTGCCGCCAGGCCCCAGGCGAACCTCGGGAGAGGACAGTCCGAGGTGGCAATTAAAGCGTCTCGATGCAGAGGTCCTAAAGGAGGCCTTGCTGATAGCCTCATGGCTGCCCCATAGCACCGGGGCTGTAGAGGAGTCGGCGGAGAGACTACGAGAGCTGGTTACGCGAGCATGTGATAGGGCCATGCCCCGTTCAAGGCGCTGCCCATCTAGGCGTCAAGTGTACTGGTGGTCGGCGGCGATTGCGCAATTGCGCGAGGAGTGTGTGGCCGCCAGACGTCAGTACACCCGCTGTCGCAGACGGCGATTTAGGAGCCGCAACGCTGACGATAGAGAAAGGCACAGGGCAGAGGAGGATACACTATACGATCAGTATGTTGCCATCAAAACCAACTTACAGGTGGCGATCGCTGAGTCGCAGACCACGGCCAGGGAGCGGATGCTGGATGAGCTCAACCGCGATCCCTGGGGGACGCCCTACAGGATGGTGCGTAACAAGCTCCGTCCTTGGGCCCCCCCACTTACGCAGTCTCTCCAGCCCAGCGCAGTCCGGGAAGTGGTCGCGGCTCTGTTTCCCCACGGTGCGCAGGCAGAACACCGGCCGCCACCGATGGCCCCGCGGGAAACCAGGGAGGAGGAAAGAGATGTCCCGGAAGTGACAGAAGAAGAGATGGAAAGTGCCGTAGCTCGTCTCCGGGAGAAGAGAGTGGCCCCCGGCCTGGATGGTATACCAGGGCGAGTATGGGTGTTGGCCATGGAGTATCTGGAGTTACGAGTTCGAGGACTATTTACTGCCTGTCTGGCTCAAGCCATAATTCCACAGCGGTGGAAGACAGGCAGATTAGTCCTCCTCAAAAAGGAGGGGCGGCCCGCGGAATCTCCGTCCGCGTACCGTCCCATCGTCCTCCTTGACGAAGTGGCCAAGCTCTTTGAGCGCGTTGTAGCCGGGCGCTTGTTGGCACACCTAGAGCGGGCGGGACCTAACCTCTCCGAAGTCCAGTTTGGTTTTCGCGGTGGCCGTTCCACCGTGGACGCCATTCTGCGCGTCCGGTCCCAGGCGCAGGAAGCGGTATCCCGGGGCGACGTTGTTATTGCGGTGTCGCTTGACATCGCAAACGCGTTCAACACGTTGCCTTGGAACTGCATAAGGGAGGCACTCCGCTATCATGGGGTGCCGACCTACCTCCGTCGCGTTGTTGGGGCCTACCTGTCGGGGAGGTGGGTGAAGTTCCCCGGTCAAGATGGCTGGGAAAGCCGGGAGGTGGTATGCGGTGTTCCACAGGGGTCGGTACTTGGGCCACTCCTGTGGAACATCGGATATGACTGGGTGCTGCGGGGCACTGGTCTGAGAGGGGTAGAGATGACGTGCTACGCTGACGATACGTTGGTAACAGCTCGGCAGCGAACATATAGAGAGGCAGCCATATTGGCCACAGCGGGGGTAAGCTTCGTCGTCGGGAGGATCCGGCGGTTAGGTTTGGAGGTCGCCCTCGGAAAATCGGAGGCAATATGCTTCCATGGTCCTCGTAGGGCACCTCCGTCGGACGCGCATATTGTTGTGGGGGGAGTCCGCATCGGCGTTACGAGCACGATGAAGTACTTGGGACTCGTGCTCGACGGCCGGTGGGACTTCCGAGCGCACTTTGACGCCCTGGTGCCGCGACTGTTGAAGGAGGCGGCGGCATTATCCAGGCTTCTGCCAAATGTAGGAGGACCGAGCGCGGTAACAAGGCGGCTTTACACCGGTGTCATGCGCTCGATGGCCATGTACGGTGCCCCAGTGTGGGCGGATGCCCTGTCGCGCGAAAACATCGCTCTGCTGCGGAGGGCGCAGAGAGTGATGGCGATCAGGGTCATCAGGGGGTACCGTACCATCTCAGGGGAGGTGGCATGTGTGTTGGCGGGAGTACTGCCGTGGGATTTAGACGCACGTTCCCTGGCGTTGATATACCGTCGGCGCCGAGGCCTATCATCTGGGGCCTCGATAGAAGTAGAAGAAGAGCGGGTAGCCGCAGTAGATGAGTGGCGGTCCAGGCTGGAGAACCCTTGCGCTGGCCGATGGACCATCGAGGCAGTTCGCCCCATTCTCGCGCAGTGGTTGGGCAGGCGGCACGGCGTCCTAACCTTCCGCGCCACGCAGATCCTCTCGGGGCATGGTTGCTTCGGGGGATATCTGTGTCGGGTCGCCGGGAGGGAGCCCTCTCCTCGCTGCCACCATTGTGACGACTGTCCCGATGAGTCGGCCCAGCATACGCTGGAGGTGTGCCCAGCATGGGCGACGGAGCGCGAGGCGCTCCAAAGTGTCGTGGGGCCGGACCTGACGCTGATGGCCGTGATCTCTGCCATGGCCGGAAGCGAAAGGTCCTGGGGTGCCGTCCTGTCCTTCTGCGAGGACGTGATGTCGCAGAAGGAGGCGGCGGAGAGGGTGAGAGAGGCCAACGCCGAGCTCGCCATCCGCCGCAAAAGGACCGGGCGCCGGAGAGCGGCGCACGATCGCCGCCTCCCCCCCTAGCACGAGCCAGAGGGCGGTCGGCTTGGGGAAGCTGATCGTCCACTGATCTGGCCCGAGTAGGCGCGCGCGGAGTCGTCCGCGCGCCACTCGAAGAGGCCGTCCGGGGTTAATCCCCCGTGATATGGAGGTGGGCCTTTAGAGGCTCTCGCCGCTGGGGTTTACAGAAGAATCTGGATGCCTGTGACCCCAGCCTTGTGGCGACAAAGCGGCCTTCGTCAGGTTTTTAGTGGGTAGGCTGTCGCGCGTTTTCCATCTTTGCGCGGCAGGAGCCCCACATAACCCGTTCCGCCTATCCCAAGGCGGACGGGTACCCGGGAACAGGGTTTTCCTGACGTTAAAAAAAAAAAAAAAAAAAAAAAAAAAAAAAAAAAAAAAAAAAAAAAAAAAAAAAAAAAAAAAAAAAAAGGTTAGGTTAGGTTAGGTTAGGTTAGGTTAGGTTAGGTTAGGTTAGGTTAGGTTAGGTTAGGTTAGGTTAGGTTAGGTTAGGTTAGGTTAGGTTCCCGGGGGAGAAGCCAACTCCTACCGGGCGCGTCCCCAGGTGGCGGATAGGGGAATGCCACCCGCTTAGGGCGGCGGGTGGTACCGGAGAAATCCGGCGCGGACCAAATGGCTTGGGTGGGGCCGCTCGTCTAGGCCTCGAGCCGAAGACGTTGCGGCCACCGGTGGTGGGACCGCTTGGTCCCACAACCGGATGATGGGTGCCGGTTGCGGGACTGTTGTCGCAGGCCCGCATCCGGCGGAGGGGTAGGCCGCGGCGGGAGAGGAGTGCCGGTATTTCGGTGCGCCGTTCTCCCTACCTTCCGCGGCCTAGACGGGGCCGCCACCGTTTGATGGCGGACGCGGTGGGGCTGCAGGGGAAGAGGAGTGTCGGTGTTTCGTTGCCGCTCTCCCTGTCCTCTGCAGCCGATTGGAGGTGGCCCACTTCGGTGGGCGGCGTTTGGTTTAATGGGGCTGCTCCGGGTACCTCTCTGGCGTAGCAGAGTTGACTGTGGAGCAGCCCCATTGGTTTGGTGGTCTGCCTATCGTTTAGGCAGACCTGCCGCCGGGACGCCGTAGTAGTTATGCGCAAGCGATCCTGCGGCGTCCCACTAAGGCGGGGGGAAGGGATGTCGGGTTTTAGTGGGTAGTGCCGGCTCTTCTAGCCGGTGAGCCCCACATCACCACCTGGGGGATCAGGTGGTATGCGTAAATGCATTTCCCGACAATAAAAAAAAAAAAAAAAAAAAAAAAAAGGTTAGGTTAGGTTAGGTTAGGTTAGGTTAGGTTAGGTTAGGTTAGGTTAGGTTAGGTTAGGTTAGGTTAGGTTAGGTTAGGTTAGGTTAGGTTAGGTTAGGTTAGGTTAGGTTAGGTTAGGTTAGGTTAGGTTAGGTTAGGTTAGGTTAGGTTAGGTTAGGTTAGGTTAGGTTAGGTTAGGTTAGGTTAGGTTAGGTTAGGTTAGGTTAGGTTAGGTTAGGTTTTTTTTTTTTTTTTTTTTTTTTAAAGCCGATGTTCCTCTGACATGGAGATCAGAGACCTTTTTTACAATGTTTTTTGTTTACATAAGTATTTTACTTAAGGGTATGGGTGGATTGTTTACAATGAAAATTTTCTATTTCTAAATTACTTTTAACTTGGGCCTTATTTTATTACAATTTTTATTATTTCTAAAGTTCTTACATGGGTTTTTACTTAATATTTTACATACATTTTTATTTCTTATGATTTATACATTTTTAGCTTGCTTATTCTATATCTTAGTTTTATTTATTTTAGTCTTATGTTCTATTTTTATGTTGCTTCTCGACTTTCTGGAGTTGTTTCCATTCGGTTTTTGTCTATTGTTATTTTACACGGTTCTTATTGCTATAATATCTTATTATTATGTACATTTTATATATTGTTCAACAATATGTAAATATACTATTTTCTTACTTATGCTATTTATTTACTTATATATATGTACTGTTTTATGGTTTTTATAAGTTTTTTTTTTTTTTTTTTTTTTTTTTTTTTTTTTTTTTCAGTACCTATTTTTTACTTTTATTATTTGCTAAGAATCCTGTTGGGGTTTTGTGTGCCGACTGTTGTAAACATGTTAAGTAATTAGTTACTCTTCACGTTTGCAGTGGTGGGAATTTGTTGCTTTTCCGACGATCTGCTGCGGTGTAAGCTAAGCTTGCTCCGTGATATCTTCATGATATCATGCAATTTTCGCGTCTGACGCATGTTCTGCTAGTGTGGTTTTGTTTTTAATAGTAGGCGACGCTAGAGCGTGCTAGGGCGTCCCATTTCTTTCTCACCGGACAGTGTGTGTCGAAGCTGTTATGGTCCGTTTGTGCACACTTTGCCTGCTGGCAGTTCCTGCACGTGGGCTCCTCACCTGCCAGCAGGCTTGGGCATTCGGTGCGCATGTGTGGGCCGGCGCAGTGGCTGCACAGATCGACTGATTCGGTGCACCACTTCTTGCCGTGCCCAAAGGCGAGACATCTCGAACACTGGATGAGAGGGGACAGGTCAAAAACCGAGACCCTTTGAAATTCCACGTACAGTCTGCCCGCAGTTGTCATCGCTTGCCACATCTGTGGCGATACCTGTAGTACAACGTGGTTTTCCGTGGGGTCTCTGGCTCTCCTCCTATGTCGGACCTTCATTCTGTGATGTTCCATCGGCACTGAATCCAGTACCTCCGGGTTTTGTTTTTCTATTGCTTGCAATATACCCTTATCAGTAATACTTGATGTCACGTTTCTTAAAATAACCAGAGGGTCTTTGTTTTCCTTTGGTTCCACCTTGAAGTTGTTTTTCTCTAAGGTTTCCTTTATGTGCTCCATGTCTGTCCTTTTCTCGCATCCAATCAGCACTCTTTGGTCTTTTACTTTTCTGAGCTTAGCTATTTGTAAGCCAGAGTCCCTTGCGTTGATTGTATCTTTGATTTTTATTATGACATCTTCGCTTGTGTCTATGGCGTCTTCTGTTCCTACGATGAGACAATGGGTAGTTTTAGGTCTCTGCTCGATAAGTGCTTCAGAGTATAACTTATTAGGTGTTTTTTGCTTTTCTTTGTCCGGTTCTACTTGTTCTACTTGTTGTATTTGTTTTGCTTGCTGTGTTTGTTTTATCAGTTCTAGTTTGTTTTTTACTTCTTTCACTTCCTGTATTGTTTCTTTGGCTACTTCATTTTGTGTTTGTATTATGTCTGTCATTTTTTCTAGTTTCCCATTGATCTCATCCATTCTGTCGTCGTTATTTGGTCTTTCTTTTGTCTGTATTTCTTTCGTTTCTATAATTTCCTCTTTCAGTGATTCGATGGCTTGTTGGATGTTTCCACTAATTTTGCTTTGTTCCTCCGCCGCCTCCGCCAGCTTTGCTGGAGCTTTGATCATAAGCTCCAGTGTTCTTTGTTGTGCAGCCTGCAGGTCTTTCATTCCCGTGATCTCTTCCGTTATTAATAAAAGTGCTGCCTGGGTGGTTTTAGTTATGAGGCTCTGTTCCTTTACTGCCTCCAGCACTTTTAAGATTTGTGGAGGTGGGGTCTGGTCTTGCTCTGTCTTCCTTCTGGCTAATATAATCTCTAAGTTGTTCTTTACAGCCAGCCTAGAGTCATTTAAAAGGTCAATGATCTCGTAGAGTCTCTGTAGGCTGGTTATAAGTGTGTCTTTTATAGTTGTTTTTAAGTTGCCAGAGCTGTCCATCTGCTGCTTTGCCGTTTTTAAGATTGCCTTTGCCTCATCTTTGAGGCTGTCCATGTCCGGCTCTGGTGGATTTGGCTTTGGCTGGCTTCCACTTTTCCTGGAGGTGGAGGCCTTCACGGTGGGTTTTGACATTTTGTCAGAGTTCGGCTCTCGTCAAATTTGTCAATATAATAAATTATTATAGCGAGTGTAAATGGCTCGCTATATGTCTTAGTCTACCTTAATCTACTTAATTCCTATTTAAATTCCAATATGGAAGTATCTGCCTTACAGATAACACGATATTTACAGATTTTCTATGAACCTACTAATAAAAATTTTAATTTTTTGGGTGAGGGGGGGAAGGGGGGGAGGTATCCGGGGTCTGATAGTAGGGGGTTTTAGGGCTCGCCGAGACCTTTAATTTGAGCCCAAACTCGAGGAATTTCGGGCAATTTTTGACGAAGTTGGGCAAGAATGTTAGTTTTTGGGGTTTGGTGGGGTCGATTTTGAGTTTTTTCGAAATTTTAAATTACTATTAATTTTAAGGGGGGTTTATCTATATAATATATTTTTTTGGCCAAAATCATAGGAGTGCAATTTTAATTAAGTTGGTTTTTTAAGTTTTTGGGGTTTAAGGGGTTTACCGAAAAATTTTTAATTTTGAATTTAGGGTTCGGTTTTGTAGCGCCTACCACCTGACATTAATTTTGTCTAGATCGGTTCAGCGGTTTAGAAGTTATGACGGTTTTAAGTAGAGGGGGGGTGGTGGGCGTGGGCGAGGGGGGGGGGGGGAGGTCTCGTGGGTAGCCTTGGGGGTCTTTGGGGGTGTTGGGGGTCTTTCGGGGGGTGGGGGGTGATGCCTAATACCCAAGAGTGGGCAAGCTGGGATAGACAGGGACGGAGATATGAAAATCCCAAGTTTGTGGGGGGGGGTACAAAAAGACAAAAATTTTCTAAGTCCCTGTCCCTATGACTTAGTGGTTGTAATCTTATTATAGGATTCAATTTTATTTAATTATTACAAAGTTCTATGTTTATACCCCCCTATGGTTCAGTGGTGAAGTCTAAAAAATTTTAAAATTTTTCTAAGTTCGATAAAAATGTTACAGAGTTCTATGTTCTTATAATATTACAAGGTTCTATGTTGATGTTCCTATGGATCAGTGGTTACTTTTCGTGAAGGTACTAAGTTCGATTTTTATTGGTTATTACAAAGTCCTATGTTTTATAGTATTAAAAGGTTCTATGTTACAACCAGGTGACTGAGGGGTAAGGGTAATGTGAATAAGGGGGGGAGGTGTCTGTAGTCTGTTTTTAATATTTTGCTTAAGGGGTGAGGGGTAATATGTCAGAGGGGGGGGGGGAATGTGGCGTGATGCGCAAGTCAGTAAGTCTAAGGGGTGCGGGGTATGGGTCGTAGGGGTCAGGGGGGTGTTAACTATGTTTTTAGAAATTATTCTAAGTTAGTTCCACTATAGCTCAGTGGAAGTTATACTAAATCGTAGGTTCGATATTTAAAATAATTAAATTAAGTCACTATGTAATAACATAGAGTTCAGTATCCTACTTAATTTCTTATTAATTTAACTTAACCTAAAGTCCAGCTCGAACTTGGCCGTATTTGGTCGTTGACCAATAGGAGCAATCTACGGCCAATGAGATTAATCTACAAAACTATCACAATTTTTGTCCGACCAATCCTTGCTTTATACACTTTTTTGAGCAACGCCCCGTATATATATCGAGCAAATTTTGTCCAACTCGTACGTTCGTTGAATATAATTATATTAATTTTATATGTGAAAGAATTTTTTATTAAATTTTTGATTTCGAATAATTTATTGGTGTTAATTTTGAAGTCCAAATATGATTTTAGCTTTTATAAATTTTAATAAATATTTAATTTTTAATTATTTATATTTGCAAGCGGTGCCGGGAGGCAAGTACTCTATATATTTCAACACTTTTAGCTCCGCCCGGCTCCGTATAGTGAATATGGGTTGGACAAATTTTGTTCGTAAAGAGATTTTATATGATTTTTTACTATGTTGAATTTATATTTTACAAATTTTTAATTTTATTGTTATTTAATATATACTAATTATTACTTTTAATTACTAGGTAAATTTCTACTACATAGGAAAATTTTAATTTTGTCAAATATTTTATATTTTATTGGGAAGCAAACCCATAAAACATCGTATGTTTAGAAAAGTTGATATTAATATTTTCAATACGTATTTTTAATCTACACTTTTATGCTATATTATAGATTGGCTAATATCTTAAAAACTACTGAGTGGATTTTGATGCGGTTTTTTCCATAAAAAACTAGAAGAGTTGCTCTTCACTTTTCAATAATTTTTCACGGGGGTCGTCACTGAAGAAAATTTTTAATCTTCCTCCGAAGTTTGTCAATTTTTTACGAAATTTTAAAAAGTCTATATCTTTGTCACTGTTTTAGTTACGGCTATGCACGATACCTTTCTGTGATCGGCGCGTCCTGCTCTTTCCAGTAGTGGTGGTTGAAAGTCTCTGTCTCTCTCCGTTTGGGAAAGAGAGAATCCGGCAAACTTGTTTTTTTGAGCTTTTTGACCACTTCCCGGTGTCCAAAAATTCCGGGAGTGGTGTCGTTGGATAGGTCTTAGAGAGCACTTTTAAACGCACAAATAAAATTGGTACGTTGTCGATCTAGATCGAGCGGCGCACGCGAAAACAGTTTAAAAATGTCTAAGTTTATCACTTTTTGCCAAATTTTGGCTAATTCCGTGCACAATTTTTGTCACTATTGTTATATATTTACACGTTGACACTTAATACACTATATTTCACAGTTTTTAGCAAATTTTCAGTCTTTTTTCTATTATTTAGCGATTTTTAAAGTTTTAAACGCCGTTTCTTCGACCGGAGCACTGTTTCCGACGCAGTGAGCGCGTCCGTTCGCTCCCGGTGGTCGAGCGGGACTGGGTTAGGTTAGGTTAGGTTAGGTTAGGTTAGGTTAGGATAGGTTAGGTTAGGTTAGGTTAGGTTAGGTTAGGTTAGGTTAGGTTAGGTTAGGTTAGGTTAGGTTAGGTTAGGTTAGGTTAGGTTAGGTTAGGTTAGGTTAGGTTAGGTTAGGTTAGGTTAGGTTAGGTTAGGTTAGGTTAGGTTAGGTTAGGTTAGGTTCCCCCCCAACGTGCGTTCACCTTGTCGTGGTGGGGGGGCTCAGTAGTGTACTCACGAAGCCAAGAAACGCACAGGGAGGTGGCCCGCTTCGGTGGGCGGTGGGAGGCGGCCTTCTTCGGAGGGTGGTATACCATGCGGGTTGCTCCTGGTACTTCTCTGATAGCAGAGTGGACCGTGGAGCAACCCCATGGTTGTTGTGGTCTGCTTCGGCAGACCTGCCGTCGGGGCGTCGTAGTTGAATGCGTAAGCGATCCTGCGACGCCCCATTAAGACGGGGGAAGGTTTTGTTGGGTTTTAGTGGGTAGTACTGGCTTCGCCGGTGAGTCCCACACTTCGTGCGTAAATGCATTTCCCAACGTTAAAAAAAAAAAAAAAAAAGGTTAGGTTAGGTTAGGTTAGGTTAGGTTAGGTTAGGTTAGGTTAGGTTAGGTTCTCAGGGCAGTTGCTGGACTGCTACTGGGCGCGTCCCCCGGGTGGCGGATAGGGGAATGCCACCACATTGGTGGTACCGGTCTTGACCGGCGCGGACCAAAACCAGTAGGCATGGGCGTGCCTTTAGGGGTTTGTTAACCCCACGGCCTAAGGGAGCACACCCTGACAGAAAAGCGCGAGGTGGGGCGGGTCCGGCGGGTGCTTAATTGCGCAGCCGGACAAGCACCAGGGTGCACCCCCCCCTCAACTCGTAATCCCGGTTCCTGGTGTCGTTGATCATGTCTAGCGGCCGGGACTGGGACCGAGGGCCTTGGCTTTACCGCCTGGGCTGCGAGGAAGAAAACCTCTCTAAAAAATTACCCCAATCCCAAGCGGAGAAGCAGCGCGAGGGGATGCATGGCCGATGGGATGATCGGTCCCTACTGCTTCCCCCGCCAGAGTACCGGCCGACACTCTGGGCGGGTTATTGAAGGCTTATCCGGGTGCAGGGGGCACCGCCCGGATGGACGGGTTATATCCCCCATACTCGTGGGATTCAAAAATGGAAACTCTTAATAAACAAAAAACCCAAACCTTTGATGTGGAGCCCGTGATGGGCGGTGAATTGACGGTGCCAGTGACTGGCGGAGTTGTTGGTGAGCCTGCGATGGGCGTAGTATACGATTCGGACGGGTCTATGTTCTCGTCCGTTTCTTCAACGTTGGGCCGTAAGAGGCCTCGTGCTGTGCCGCTTTTGGCGTCGTCCTCTGGGTCTGAGACCGAGACAGAGTCGACCTTTAACGCCAGGGCGACGGAGGCACGTAGAGGAAAGACCTTTAAGGGTCCTGGGGGGTCTGGTCTGGTGCGTTCACGGGCAGATTTAAAGAAGCTCGAGTATGAGGCCAAAGAGAAGGCCTTTGAGGAGACCTTAAAGAAGAGGGCATTCCGCAAGGAGGGTCCCTCTCAACCTGTGGAGAAGGGGTTGTCGGCCTCTGTTGCCCCCTCTCCCATTGATGTGGCCGGAATGCCGGCTGAGGAATTGAAGTCGGTTGCTGGAGCAAGTGTTGCGGCAATTCTAGAGGTGGCCGCTAAGTCGGGAAATTTGAAGGGAGTCTTCGTGAAGAGGCTCAAAGAGTCGGCGGCTTCCCTGCAGCAGGTGGTGGAGGCACTTGCTGGGCGCACGGTGGCTGAGGAGATGGCGCACCTGAGCACCGACAACGCTAGGCTCAGGAAGGAGGTCGAAAACCTCAAGTCGGAGCTCAAGGCCTACCGCCGAGAGTTCTCCGACATGCGGGCCGAAATGTCTGCGGCGAAGTCGGGCCCATCAGATGTAGTTGGCGGTAACTGGCTGGAGGAACTTAGGGCCTCCATAGTCGCCTCTGTGGGCACCTTAATCGATGGCCGATTTGCCGGCATCGAGGAGCGCCTTCTCCCAGAGAAGAGGATGCGGCCCCCATTGGCGGCGGATAGACGGTGTGAGGCTGCTGTAAGGGACACTGTCCCGGCTCCCTCTAGCGGGGTGCCTGCGCCGAGTGTCATGGCGGTGAAAGAAGGTACGGCGTTGGGCAAACGTAAGCCTGCTAAGAAAAAG